TATCAAAGTGGCTTACAACACTAAAATATACAAACATAAATTGCATTAAACATCCATCAGAACATACCAATATTATTAAAACAAAAAATGAAAATCACCAAAAACAGTAAATCGTATACCCCACACCCAAATTATGAACTCTGACAATCAAGGCAGGCCTAGTCCCTCATCTCTCTGGAGTGGGGGGTGCTGCAAGGGAAGGGAGAATGGGCAATCATGATCTCCCCCTCTCTGCCACCACTAGATTTTCTACAACAGCGCAGAGTTGAAAAACCATGTCATAACTATATAGGAAGAGGCCTGTTAGATCTAGTCCAGAATGCTGTTCTTGCAGTGGCTAACCCAATGCCTATGGGAAGCCTGAATGCAGGACATAACAGCAGCATAATGTCAAGGTGTTTCCCTGGCAGAAGTGCATCCAACTACAGTCATCTGGAGGTTCTGCTTGAGAATTTGCAGAGCTGACAGGCTTGTGGGTCCTGGGACATTTGAGGTGACTTAGCATAAGGCAGCTCTTTATCCTCGATCTGTACTGCTTTAAATGAAAGCAGAAAAGGCACTCCTGGGCTGCCTTTGTAAGCATGACTCTCTGGGATTTTGTATATAGCCTGGTCAGAGCACTGCACTTTGATGGTTCACAGATTCCTTTTGCAGGCAAACAGCACAGTACGATTTTGTCTGTTTTCCTCTATGTGCTCATTGTGGTGCTTCCAGAGGGGGCTTTCAGGATTCATGATCTTTTGATACTTGGCTGTTATGCTGACAATTGCATCAGTGTAAAGAGTGTTGTAAAAGAAGAGCGAGCAGCTGTTAATTGCACAAAGTTTGCAGCTCTGTGGTGCATCTGCCTAACACATGAGAGAGGTTTTTCTGGGACTTTGTAAATTGCCCAGATGTGTATCTTTTCGAATCACAGTTTCTGCAGCCCTAACTATTTCCCTTTTCTCCCCTCTCTCCTAGGAGATGCGAGCGTATCAACTGCTTTAACTATGTGGACTGCCAAAACACTCCTTTGCGAATTACTTACTATCAGCTTAACTTCCAAACTAACATTGTCATCCCAGCGCATATTTTCCGAATTGGTCCCTCGCCTGCTTATGCTGGAGACAACATAATCCTCACAATCAACAAAGGAAATGAAGAGAACTACTTCAGCACCAGGAAGCTTAATTCCTACACAGGCATTGTCTACCTTCAGCGGCAAGTGAAGGAACCCAAAGACTTTTTGTTAGATGTTGAAATGAAGCTTTGGCGTCAAGGAACCTACACGACCTTCCTGGCTAAAATTTACATCTTTATCTCTTCTCATGCCTACTGAGGCATATGTACTCTCATGGGAGTTTATTGGTGCTATCGCCTTTGTGTTTTCTACCAAAGCTTATTATGATGCCTAGTTATAGATTTTTAAAATAATAATCATTTCCCCCCTTATTATTTTTCTAAAAACATCTTTGTTTTTTGTAAAATTAACTTAAAACAAATTACCAGTTTCTCTTATAACTCTGGATTTTTAACTGAGCAGAAGAAGGCATTGTGGTTTAAAGCAAATATATATGTACAGTATTTACATGATGCTCTAAAATCTTCTATTGGTATATTCTATTGTGACAACTTCAGAATGAGTTGCTGGGGGGAGACAATCTATCCAAACTTAAGCACTTAGAGGTCCCGTTGATTTCCCAGAGAATTAATCATGCGGCCACTGAAATTAGTTTGACTTTGTGCTTAAGTACAGTTGGATTGGGCTGGTTGGCAGGCAGGACATCAGTCCCTGCCCATGGCAATGTCTGATGGAAGTGATCTCTTTCCACCTGCTGAGCTTCTTCCAGTGCAGCTTTTAAAAAGACCCGAAGTCCTTAAAGTCTCTTTAATATATTTACACTTATTTACATGTAATATACAAAGAGAGTTCACTATGCTTGGACTGCCTTGCAAAAAAATGCTGCGTTCTGACATGCCAGCAAATCAGATGGGGACATGTTAGTCTCGCCCCTCCTTATGCAATTGCCTGCTCAGTAACTTTAGCAGCGTTGTTCTCTTCCTCCAGGCAGGAGGAAGGCAAAAGGTTAATATGAGAACTAATGCACAGCACAGCAAGCTCTCCTTATAGAGTTACATGTATTTTCAGCTTTGGAGGACAAGAGGTGGAAATCCAAAGGGTTGGATGAAATCCAGCCTCCTTAGGCACTTGGGTGTTGTCCAGTGTCCAGGAAGCTTGAACAATTTTTTTTTTGGGAGGGGGGAGCGGGTCAAATCCAATGTTCATCATACTCAGAATAACCCACTGAAATCAATGAACTTAACCCTAAGTCCATTGATTTCATTGGATGTGCGCTGAGTGTGACAACCAGCAAAATTGTAACCACGTCTACTCAGAAATAAATCCTGTTGAATCAAATGGGGATTGCTCCCAGGCAATGCTTACATGCATTCTCTTATGGTGCCATGGAATTACACCTTCTGGTATATCAGAGGTACTGCACCAGTAGTGCCAGATCATTGTCACACTTTACATGGGAATTGCAATTGCTGAGGGCATACCACCCACTGTACCCATCATGGGAAATACATATAGCCAGTGTCAGCACACTGTACTCACAGGCAAATGCTGCAGGCCTGTTGCTTCTGATCCCTGCCTCTTCGTTGGGCTGGGTATGAATTTTTATTCTCCTTGGTCCTGCGTGCCATACAGCCACAGCAAATCAGCAAGGGAGACATCCTTTCAATCCACAGGTGAGCAGCCTTTGGCCACCTCCTAGACAGATAGGCCCATCCTCTTTCTCTCTGCAGTGGAGAAAAGATTGCTGTTGCTGCACTGCTATTTACAGCATGGGGATAGCGATCTTAGCTGCATCAGGATTGCTGGGATGTGGGAAATCGAAGCCCGCTGAAACCTGGAGCCAGTGTTTACATGTCTGAGGACATGCAGCAATCACGTTTGCTATGTGGGGCAGTTTTTAAATGTGCAAGCTGTGGTGCTAGAGAAGGAGTGGGGAACCTCTGGCCTCCCAGATGTTCCTGGGCTGCAGCTCCCATTAGCCCTAGCAAGCATTGTCAGTGGCCAGAGATCATGGGAGCTGAAGTTCAGCATCATCTGGAAGGCCAAGGATTCCACACTTCTATATTAGGTAACATTCAGGCTGACATCATATCCACAATTGCCTGGAATCAATGGGATTTACATCTTATTAGACATGCATAGTGCTGTCAGTCACTTACTATTAGATGTCTTTTCTTTTTTGTCCTCATAATTTATGTTTACTTATCTGCAAACACAGATCCCTTATAACGAAAGAACACAATTTGGGTGGCAGTTAATCCATGCTTACACTTAAACAAAGCTGAATAATTTTCAGATCCAATGGAAGAGAGGGCTGTGTTGTGCTTTCTTGCTGAAATTGACATTGCAGTTCGCATTACTTGCCTGGTTTTGTATTTAAATTCAGTACCAAAGGTGCCCATTCTTTTTGGGGTACATACAAGATGTATTATATTTTTTATGGAAATGCCAAAGATGAAGCATGACAGACCAAAGATGCAAAACCGTTGTTAACACCTTATTGAATGTCATGGCTATCCAATTAGAATGTTAAGATAAAACTTGAAATAGATCAGATTTATTTTCTGCTTTTCTGGCCTAAATGACATGGCAGAAGTAGGAATCTAGTTAATTTGGCAGCTTGAATAAACCATATACTATACTAATAGAACAATGCAAGGTTTAAATTCTTTTCAAGTTCTCTTATTTTATAGAAAACTGGATAAGGCCCAAATCAAGCAGCCGTGTGTACTGATGAGTAGTTTAATCAAAATAATGTTTTTAAATTTTTTTGCAAGTGAATAGCAGAATTTTTAAATAAATATGGTGTGGTGGTGTTTTTTTAAAAAAGATAGAACAGTCTAGTGCAAAACTTTTACTTAATTTTTTTAGCACAGCTATACATAAATAACATATGAAATGTTGTTGATCAAAACCATAACTGCAACATATAAATTTTTTGTGATATGGTTTAATCCTTTCCTTATATTGTAGTGGATCTTATTTTGTATATAAAACAAGGAAGAAGCCAAGCCTTAGGGCCTTTTTATACAGTAGTATAAAAAGTATTATAAAATGCTGCAGTATTATGAAATGTAAAATACTAATTTGTACTGTGGATTAAACATGTAAATGCTTTTTATGTTTAACGGGAGCGAGGGAAGAGGGGAAAGATGTGCTGTCATCAGATTCATTGAATGTTGTCTTCCCTGCTATTTCTGTCAATATTTCTGTCCATAGTAAAGCATAAGTATGGTTTTAGCTAATGTTATACATCGTTGTGCTTCTATAAACTCTTTTCTTGGTCTCTTAGTGCATATTTGCTTCCATTCTAATAAATAGACTCTTAGAGCTGAAAGTGGAATTACTAGGTACTAACCTGGAGACTTTTGCTGTCACTCCAAATAGCTTATTGGCAACAAGAGAAAATGCAGCAGGAATGTCTCCCACCACAATTTTCTGGTCATTTCTTCGTCCATCTGTCTCAGTGAATCACCTGTTGGTTCCTGAAACTAGATTTTTCCTTCACAGAGCAATAGGAAAGGGATCACTGGACACATGGGGAAGGAGAGAGTGTCCAGGAACTCTAATTACTAGGAACTAGGAAACCTTACTTAGAAGGGTATAGGAACATAGGAAGCTGGCATTATCCTGAGCCAGATCATTGATCCGTCTAGTTCAGTATTGTCCACCCTGACTGGCAGAGTGTCTCCCAGCCCTACTTAGAGAAGGAGTTTGGATTTGATATCCCGCTTTATCACTACCCAAAGGAGTCTCAAAGCACCTAACAATTTCCTTTCCCTTCCTCCCCCACAACAAACACTCTGTGAGGTGAGTGGGGCTGAGAGACTTCAAAGAAGTGTGACTGGCCCAAGGTCACCCAGCAGCTGCATGTGGAGGAGCGGGGAAGCAAACTCGGTTCCCCAGATTACGAGTCCACTGCTCTTAACCACTGCACCACAGGAGATGCCAGGAGTTGAACCTGAAACCCTTCTGCATGTAAAACAGATGTTCTACCACTGAATTATAGCCTTTCCCCCAGAAAGGCATCTCACTATACCACTCAAAGGCTATCCATATACAGCTGAACCTTGGTTTTCAAATGTCTCTGTTGACAAACGTTTCGGCTTTCGAACGCCAAAAACCCGGAAGTAGCTGCTCTGGTTTCTGAACGACTTCCGTAAACCGGACATGCCACATGGCTTCTGTTTCAAGTTTCCCTATGGTATGGAAGCTTCCACTTTCAGTTTTTGGTTTTTGAACGTTTCAGAAGTCGAACAGTCTTCTGGAACAGATTACGTTCAAAAACCAAGATTCTACTGTATCATATATCATAGCAGAGTTGCAGAAGATCATGTGATACAAGCAGATTAACTACAGAAAATGTGTCTTGGGTATAAATAGCCTCAGACCTAACAACTACACATTTCCTACTGCAGAGCATCTTGAGAAATGAGCAATAAAAGAGCAGGTGGAAATAGGTTTACTAGAGAAGTTCTCAAATTCCACCAGAGATGGCAGGGTAGGGCTGTAGCTTCAACTGCAGAGGAATCACATTGGAACAGACTGGGAGCCTATTTGATTCAGTTACGGTCCCAGAGTACAGTAAATTAAAAGCCAAAAGCCAAGTGTCCCAAACTATGATATGAATTCCATAAGTAATGTGGAATGGTCTGCCCATCTCCAAGGCATATGCAGTACAATTAAGCACATCTTTCTGCAGAGAAGAGGAGCAGGGCAGTATGCAGTTATGAGACCTGAAAGCTTTTTTAAAAGCTCTGTGCAATAAACACATGATGGAGCGGTGGAGTTCTCCTTGCCCCGGCAGGGCACATCAAGAAACCATGAAACCCAGCATTTTCAATCAACATTAGCATTTGATTGAGTATAAATGCCATTCAAGCTCCACTGGTCTGTCCTGTCAGAGAAATAATGGACAAGCAATTTGTAATGTAGAGACCTTCCGCTGACTAGAAGCAACCGCAGTCAATCATTTTGTTAAGTCACTGGCAGGCAGTTTCCAATGACGACTCTTCATTTTCTAACAGAGGTAATTGATAAAGTCCAGTGTGAGAGGGGGGTCCCAAACAGACTCTTCTGCAAAGACTTTCTTTGGCATACCCACTCTCCTTTTCCCAACACTGAAAGCAACATTTTAGCTTTTGTTGAAATGCTAGTGCATTTTCTCCTCTAATTGAACAGGAATCTCTGTAGACATGGCTACTGTTGTCGGCTGAAGAGAGTCCCAAGATTACAATGTAACCTTGATATCCCAGTGGGCAGATCAGAATGTTACGACTTAAATGTTATTTTACAGCTAAAATTCCAATGTCAACATTGGTTTAACAAAGGGATCAAGCGTCTTTACTCTAGCCACCTTAACAATGCAATCCTATACATGTCTACACTGAAGTAAATTCTATAGGTCTGGCATCCAAGAAACTGTATGTAGGATTGCAAACTGAGGATCTTGCTCACTTTAGGAGCCTTTGTTTTATGCTGTAACCAAATGGGTTTAATTGATTAACTGAATGAATGAATGAATGTATGAATGATTATCAGCAGCTGACAGCCATTTTATAGTTAGACAGTTCCTCTGACTGTGGTGTGTGATGTATCCTTGAAGTCAGTATAATGTAATTTATGCCAATTTCAAAGCTCTTTCATAGAGCCACATGAGAGTGTAAATGTGAATTTGACTCACTAGTCTTGCTAGATACTCAAAAGCTTTAAGGAAGTTTGAAATTGGCTTTAGCTTTACCTTAAAATAATCCCAGATTAAGTTGCTTTGAAGGAAGCTACTGCCAAAGTGATAAACGGGCAATGGTTGCACTCCATCAATGATGAAAGCTTTTAATAAATTTGGACAATCTAAGAAAATGTTGAAGGCTCACTTCCCTATCCGTCTTCTCAGAACTATTCAAATGCTCAAAAGAATGTGAGGGAACTTAAACTGAGGATGCTGAAGAAGCTGTCCTCACCTCCAATATCCACATATTGGAGGTATGAGGTGTTAGGAGATGGGTAGTACCTCTGGTGGGGGACATATCATACTCTTTCTGGGGTAGTTTGCTCACTTTTGGTCCCCACCCTGCACTCAGCTCTCACTTGTGACTCCTAGAAGCTGTTAACATGTGTCAGCAGCCACATTCTGGAAGCAGCTTTGACTGACTGGCTAAACCAGGTGAGCGTAGCTGATGGGTCTCAAAAGTAAAGTAAACCTCAGGTTCATATTGTCTATGTGTACCAGTTGGCTTTTTGATGAAAGCAGCTTCAAAACTAAGGAAATGATAATTTATTTGCATTATATTACTGCCATTGCAACAGAGGGAGAGAAGAGAAGCTAAGGAAAGCAGGCCCACTCTATCAGTTCCACTGAAACACCAGCTCCTTGTAGCTCCTCTTTCCGCTGAACTGCTTCCACCCCAGCTGGTTATTATGAAAATCCTGTGACTGGAATAAAGGGTGCCTGAGTTTGCTTCCCTCCCCCCTCTGCAGCCCCCCTCCTTTAATTCTTTTTGTTTCATTTCCTCACATTTTTATTGATCTCATTTAAGATGCTTTGGGAGACTGTACAGTTCAAAAGCAAGGCAGAAAAATATATGTTAGTTTTAACCTAGTTTTAAAAATTAATCTAGTTAACCTAGTTTAACATAGTTTTAAATACAGAACAATTACTGCAACACCAAATAAATTAGAAGAATAACTTGCAAACTTTTTACCTTCAGAAAGGAAATTCTCCACATAGACATATTTACCAAGTAAGCCCTCAGCATCTATCACAAGACCCCTTCTTGTTGCAAAAGATTCTGGGAAATAGTCTCAGTTATGCACATAGTTCACCTTGGGCTTTTTGAGCAATCCTAGTTATTTTGGCTGCTTCGAGTCTTGTTGCTTGTTGTTGCTTCTTGATGTACGTAAAAGGTAAAGGACCCCTGGATGGTTAAGTCCAGTTAAAGGTGACTATAGGGTATGGCACTCATCTTGTTTTCAGGCCGAGGGAGCTGGCTTTTGTCCACAGACAGCTTTCCGGGTCATGTGGCCAGGATGACTAAACTGCTTCTGGCACAACAAGACACCATGACGGAAGCCAGAGCACATGGAAACGTCGTTTAGCTTCCTGCCACAGCGGTACCTATTTATGTACTTGCACTGGCGTGCTTTTGAACTGCTAGGTTGGCAGGAGCTGGGACAGAAGAACGGGAATTCACCCCATTGTGGGGATTCAAACTGCCGACCTTCCAATCGGCAAGCCCAAGAGGCTCAGTGGTTTAGACCACAGCGCCACCCATGTCTTTATGTAAAAAGGTAAAGGTAAAGGGACCCCTGACCATTAGGTCCAGTCGTGACCGACTCTGGGGTTGCGGCGCTCATCTCGCTTTATTGGCCGAGGGAGCCGGCGTACAGCTTCCGGGTCATGTGGCCAGCATGACTAAGCCGCTTCTGGCGAACCAGAGCAGCGTACGGAAACGCCGTTTACCTTCCTGCCGGGGCGGTACTTATTTATCTACTTGCACTTTGACGTGCTTTCGAACTGCTAGGTTGGCAGGAGCTGGGACCGAACAATGGGAACTCACCCCGTTGCGAGGATTCAAACCGCCAACCTTCCAGCTGGCAAGTCCTAGGCTCTGTGGTTTAACCCACAGCGTCACCCGCGTCCCATGTCTTTATGTAGTAATTGGTAATTTCAGAGTCAAGCATTCTCTTCAGTTATGGGCTGGAGTTAAGACTCCACCCTTTAGCTTGTTCTTGTGCATACTCTCAATTTCTTATGCAGCTGTGTGCTAGCCTGTTCATCAACAAACAACCTGTTGTTCTGCCGCAACTTTGTTTAATGTTAAATAAGTAAGAACTTTACAGCAGCAACAAGTAAATTAATATCATATTATCCTATGGTATGTGCCACATGATTTATGTGCTTTATGTGTTTTTATCTTATACTGATTTGTTGTAATTGAGAGAATGAGTATGTGTATCCACTACTTCTACAGTTGCCCTATTGCCTGTTTAGCATGCTGTATGTATGTATGTATATATGTGCTTTTACCTTACCTTATGGCCGTAGTAACGATTCTTCTTCTCCTATGGGAAAATCGAGGGATTTAATTCAGAAACAGTGGAATGGCAGCAATATGTGGAAAGACTGGACCACTATTTTCATGCTAATGAAATCACTGAGGGTGAGAAACAAAAGGCAACAATGCTGATGGTTGCTGGCAGTGAAGCTTACTCCCTTTTTAGAACTTTAGTGCAAACCACAAAAGCCAGGGGACAAAAGTTTAGCAACCACAAAAGCCAGGGGATAAAAGTTTAGCAGAGTTGCACAAGATCTTGTCTGACCACTATATTCCAAGGCCAAGCATAACACTGGAACGCTTTGAATGCCATTTTAGGAGGAGGAAGGAAGGTGAATGTATACTGCTGGTCACAAAAAGCTTGCCGAACGCTGTTCTTTTGCAAATGTTCTGGAGCGTGGAGTTGGTGATATTAAAATTCAAAATCAATGACTGACCTGGGACAAAGCTTTAAAGGCGGTGACAGCCATGGAAGCAGCAGTGAGAAATCTACAGGATATGGAACTTAACAATAAGGACAAAATACAGACAAAATGAGTCAATAAATCCAAGCGCACAGCCCACAGGAGAAGCGTTGTCATTGTGGAGGAATGCATTCATCCTCTGTAAACACAGAATGTCTTGGTGCCACAAATGCAGAAAAATTGGGCATTTAGCAAGAAATTGCAAGAGGAGCTATTTAGTTGGACAACCAAGTCAGGCCAAGGAATGGGCAAGAAAATAAGGGAAGAGAAAGCAGATCAAAGGGTTCACAATGTGCAGCTGAGAGGGTGGAGAGAGAAAGTGGAGCCTACAATTCCACAATCATCTAGTAGGCATGGAATTAGATGCAGGAGATTCTGTTACAGTAGCCAGTGAAGAGACTTACCAACAATGTAAAGGAGACCTAGGACTATTGGCCAAGACAAGGGTGAATAATAATAATAATAACAATAATAACAACAGCAACAACAACAA